CTGATCACTGATCTTTACAAGTCTGTATCCATTTGGGGTTTATCTGCTTAATGTTCTGCACAGGTGAGTTTCTTTGGAATAGCACACTTTTGTTGAGTTTTTCTTTTGTCAAGTGGATCATTTGGTTTGCAAAGTTATACGAACAAAGCAAGGAGTGCAGTTTCTGCATCAAGAAAATGTAGCGAAATGTCAGCTTGCTTCTGTGCTTTGCATTGAAGCTGGGCACTGAAGTTTAAATGTAGCTGAAGATCTTATTTTTTTTTAAATCTTTGAAATTAATCATTGAATCGTTATAGGTTTTGGAACCGCTACAAACCTCAGTGCCACAGCCCAAGTATAAAAAGGGATTGTAATTTCTGCCACCATAATAGGTATGTTCACATTCTATCAGACCTAATTTAATCTGATCTAGAGAAAATACATTTGTGAAATTAATATGTAATTATCCAGCTGTATTGGGGGAAAATGGAGCTAGATGTGATTGCAAAATTAATCTGGAATAAACCCCTGTATATCAGAGATATTAACCTAGAACACTCCCAGTGCAGTATTGGTGAAATTGAGAATGATGTAATTGCTGTGTTGAAATTAATTGAGAATGTTTTGCTGGCACAGCACTGATCCCAGTCTGGATGTTCTTGTAAAATAGAGTCTGGAACAATTAAATAGCGACATTTAAAAGTTGGGTTCAGGACAATCCAGGTGTGTAAGGTGTAGTGGTAACGAATTTAGTCAGTCCAGATGTTGCATAGTTAATAAATGCAGAAGTGTATTTTGTATGGTGAATCCAGAACAAGCACACTATTGGTAAAACTAATCTTGAGCCATCTATATTTGTGTATTGGCAAATGTATCCTACAACAGTCCAGTTAATGTACTGGCAAAAATATTAGGTACAATCCACATGTGTCTGTGGAATCGATCTGGAATGACCCTGAGGCTGTGTTGGATGGGGATGGGGTGAATCTGGAACAACTCAGGCAGAATCCAGAACAGCGAGGTTACGTTGAAGATCAACAAAACTTCAGTTAGGCCACAGCTGGAGTATTGTGGGCAGTTCTGGTCACCGTACTATAGGAAGGTGGTGGTGTACTGGAGGGATGTATTGATTTACCAGGGTAAAACAAAGAACTGCAGATTCTGGAAACTTGAACAGAAATTGCTAGAGAGAAAGTGGAGTTATCATTTTGGGTCCAGTAACCCTTCTTTAGAATTGTTAATAGCTAGGAAAAGGTGATATACATGCTGTTGACAGGGGGTAGGGTGGTGGCAGTAAACGATAAGTGCAGTTGGAGCCCAGAGGGAGAGAAAGACAGTTGGGCAAAGGTATGGATAATGGTGATCCAGGAAAGAAGCTCTGCTAATGGGGCCATAAGTAGGTGAGAATGGGTTGGCTGTGGTGAAAGCAGCCCATGTGATGACAGGGCCTGGGGTAAAGGACATGAAAGCGTGTATTCAGGCCCTAAAATCATTGAAGTCAATAGAGTCTCAAATGCTGCTGGATCCTCAAGCAGAAAGAGATGCTGTTTTTCCAGTTTGCACTGAGCCTCAATGGAGCACTGCAGCAGGCAGGGGCCAGAGAGTAGTGAATCTGTGGAAGTCTTTACTGCAGAGGCTGGATCGTGCAGTATATTCAAGGCTAAGGGAGAGAGATTTTTAATCAGTAAGGGAGTCAAGGGTCATAGGGAAAAGGCAGAAAAATGGATTTGAGGATGATCAAATCAGTCATGATCTCACTCTCTTGTAGTGGAGCAGTCTCGATGGGGTGAATAGCCAACCTCTACTCCTACATCTTATGGTCAGAGGCTGTAAATTCTGCAGCGAGTACTGCCTCCTGTCTTCCCAATCCCTATCCATATCGACAAAGCACAAGTCAGGAGTGGGATGGAATACTGCCTGGACAATTGCAACTCCAATGTTCAAGAAACTCAACATCATCCACAACAATGCAGTCCACTGGATCGGCATCTCACCTTCAACATTCATTCCCTCCTGCACCGATGCATAGTGGTAGCAGGATACATTGCAGTAACTGAGCAAGGCTCCTTCAACTCCTCCCAAGCTTAGTAGGTTACAACTGAGAATGACAAGGATAGCAGATACATGGAATACTACTGCCAAGTTAGAGACCCTCCTGACTTTGAATTATATTGCAGTTCCTTCACTGGTGCTGGGTCAATGTACTGTAGCTCCCTCCTAAACAATGCCTGTGTCTAAACCCTTCCTATTCATGTACCCATCCAGATGCCTTTTAAATGTTATTGTACCAGCCTCCATCACTTCCTCTGGCAGCTTGTTCCATACACGCACCACTCTATGCGTGATGCCTAATCCCACGGAAGAATACAAAGCAAAACATAATTTGAATCTTCCTGTCACGCTCCAAGAAGAACAGGCTGCTAATCCATCAACCTTGTTAAGCTGCAGCAGCATTAGTTAAATCAAAGACCGGGCTCCAATATTTCTAATACCATATCAGCCGTAAAGCTGGGAGAGTGGATTTAATGTGAGAATTTCAATCAAGTGACCAGACTTTCTAACTGTTATATTGAGAACCAATTCTGATGTTTCATTTGTAATAAATGCCAAGAAAAAGAGATTATGATCCTCAAAAGGATCCAAAGAATCCCTACAGTGTGGAAACAGGCCATTCAGCCCAACAAGTCCACAATGACCCTCCAAAGAGCATCCCACTCAGACCAATCCCCTTACCCTATCCCTGTAATTCCCATGGCTAACGCTCAACATACACATCTCTGGACACTATGGGACAATTTACATGAACAATCCACCTAATTTTGCACAAATTTGGACTGTGGGATAAAACCCAGAGCACCCAGCAGAAACCTTCACAGACAGGGAGAATGCACAAACTCCACACAGATAGTCACCCAAAAGTGGAATTGAACCCATGTCCCTGGCACTGAGGCAGCAGAGCTAACCACTGAGATGCCCAGACTGAATCCATTAGAGTGTTTCAATACTACAGAACATCCCAACATGCTGAACAACCTCAATGGAGTACTTTCTGAAGAGTATCAATGTAGTAAATGTAAAAAAAATTGCAGTCAGCATCTCTTCTCCATCATCGTCACCATCACCTTCTCTGGGGCTACTAGGCACAGGCAATAAAATGCTGGCCCAGCCATTGACACCCACAACTCATGAGTGAATTTTTAAAAAGCTGATCTATGCACAGCAAATGCCAAACAGGAGCACGATAATGACCAGTCAATTTTTTTTTAAAGAAAAAACTAATGTTGCTCAAAGGATAAGTATTGGCCCAGGATGCCAGGGAGAACTCCCCCTCTTTTCAATTAAAGAAACCAAAGAACTGCGGATATTGGAAACAAAGACAGAGATTGCTGGGAAAACTCAGCAGTTCTGGCAGCATCTGTGGAGAGGAGTAAAGCAAAGTTAGCGTTTCTTCGGAACAGGGTGTTGAGGACGGCATTGGAATCAAAAGGTTAACTCTGCTTTCTCTCCACAGATGCTGCCAGACCCTGAGTACTTTTTCGAGCAATTTCAGTTTTAGTTCCCTCTTTGGAACAGTGGCTGTGGGATCTTTAATATCGACCTACAACTCTTGGCTTAGTCTCCCACCCGAAAGGTGGCTTGCTTCCTCAAAGCAGCACTATGTGCTCAGGTCCCTCTGGAGTCAGACTGGAACCCAAAAGCTTCTGAGCCACGTCTGTAAAGGAAAAAACTGAGGAAGGTTTAAAGGGTGCATTTTGTGCTCAGGTCTCCAGAGTGCGGGTTAGAGTCATAGAATACCTACACAGCATAGAAGCAGGCAATTCAGCCCATTCGGTCAACACTGACCCTCTGAAAAGCATCCCACCCAGACCCACCTCCCCAAGCTATCTCTGTAACCCTGCATTTCCCATGGCTAACCCACTTAAGCATGCACATCCCTGGACAATTTAGCACAACCAATCCACTTAACTGTGCATCTTTGAACTGTGGGACGAAACCAAAGCACTTGGAGGGGACCCATGCAGACACAGGGAGAACATGCAAACTCCACAAAGACAGTCACCCGAAGGTGGAATCAAACCCGGGTCCCTCACGCTGTGAGGCAGGAGTGCTAACCGCTGAGCCACCGTGCTGGCCCTTGAAATCCAACAACTTCTGCACCACTTAGCATGGTGGCTCAGTGGACAGCACTGCTGCCTCAAGGTGCTGGGGACCCAGGTTCGATTCCACCCTCAGGTGACTGTCTGTCTGTGTGGATTTTGCACATTCTCCCTGTATCTGCGTAGGTTTCCTCCCACAGTTCAATGATGCGCAGGCTAGGTGGATTAGCCGTGGGGAATGCGGAGTTATGGGAGTAGGGTTAGGAGCCTGGGTGCTATGCTTTTGGGAGGGTCAGTGCAGATTCGATGGTCCAAACGGCCACTCCCAAACCATAGGGATTGTATCACTCTCTGCCTGTGAAAGATAGAAAGACTGAGGGAGGATGGTTGCAGGGTGCATTTTGTGCTCAGGTCTCCAGAGTGGAACCTGAACCCCCAACAACCCAAAAGTGGCACGGCAGATCACGGTGTCAGGGACCCAGTTTCGATTCCACCCTCGGATGGCTGTCTGTGTGGAGTTTGAACATTCTCCCCATGTCTCTGTGGGTTTCCTTCCACAGTCCAAAGGTGTGCAGGTTAGGGTGGATTGGCCGTGCTAAATTGTCCCATAGTGTCCCAGGGATGTGCGGGTTAGGGTGGATTGGCCGTGCTAAATTGTCCTACAGTGCCCAGGGATGTGCGGGTTAGGGTGGGTTGGCCGTGCTAAATTGTCCCGTAGTGCCCAGGGATGTGCAGGTTAGGGTGGGTTGGCCGTGCTAAATTGTCCCGTAGTGTCCCAGGAATGTGTGGGTTGGCCATGGGAAATGTAGGGTTACAGGGTAGGTGTTGGAGGGGTAAGTAGCCTACAGGGGTAGGGTTAGTTGGGTCTGGGTGCGATGCCCTTGGGAGGGCTGGTTTGCACTCGATGGGCCGAATGGCCTGCTCCCAAACCTTAGGGATTCCACGACGGGACGTCCGAGGAGGTGCCATTGCCTGTGAAGGGAAGGCTGAGATCCTAGGAACGGGCGGTTGAGTTTAATAATTCTTTTCGATCTGCTTTCTTCCCCGACCACTCTTTTCAAACCAAAACAAAACAAAAAAAAACCACCGAAGGTTTTCCACGGCGTCGAGTGAGCGGACAGCCCGCAGCAGAGAGTGAGTGAGTGAGGGACGGACAGCCGGTCGAGGCGGCGGTGGATGGCGCCGGGACGGTGAGAATGTTCCAGAAGGTTCCCCGCGGGTTGTCCGGCCCTCAGCGCCAGGGGCTCGGGCTCGCGCTCGCGCTGCTGCTCGGTGCGGGCCCGCTGCTGGGAGCCGCCCGCTCGCCCACCTTCACCATCGGCCTGGTGGGCCCCTGGCGGTGCGACCCGGTGCTTTCCAGGGCCTTGCCCGAGCTGGCCGCCAGCTTGGCCATCCGAGCCGTCAACCGGGACCCGTCCATCAGCCCGGCTTACCGCTACGACTACACGGTGCTCGACCAGGACTGCCGGACGGGCCGGGGCCTGGCCGGCTTCGCCAGGCTGGAGCGGAGAGCCTCGGGTTTCGTCGGGCCTCTCAATCCCGGCTACTGCGCGGCGGCCGGCCTCCTAGCCGAGAGCTGGGACAAGCCGCTGGTTTCCTGGGCCTGCCCGGATCCCGAGCCGGGACGTCGTCGTCGTCGCCGCCGTCGGGAGAGGACACACCCGGCCTTCGCCACCTTCGCCAGGCCCACGCCCTCGGCCGCCGCTGTCCTACTCCGGGTCCTCGAGCACTTCGGCTGGGCGCGGGTGGCTGTAGTGAGCTCGGAGCAGGAGCTCTGGGTGGAGACAGCCCGGGAGCTGACCGATGGCTTGCGGCGCCGAGGCCTCCCCGTTAGCCTACTACTCACCGCGGAGAGCGGGACTGGAGCCGGAGCCCGAGCCCAGGCCCAGCCCGAAGCAGCCGCCGCGCACGTCCTGAACCGCATCCGACAAATGGATGGCGTCAGAGGTAGGAACTGGGAGGCGGGGAAATCCGGGAGGTGGGCAGGACTCTTTGATCATGAATGGCAGAGATATGGAGGGGGTGTTGGGGCTGGAGAAGGTGACAGAGATATGGAGGGGGTGTTGGGGCTGGAG